TTTTGGGGCATAATGATGTAGAAAAAATTTGGTGCAAGATAGAAGACAGTGGCAACATTAAATAATGGAGGCGGCTTGATGGTATTTTAGTGTTGCTTTAGCTCAAGGAGGAATAAACAATTAATTGCAATAAGAGGAATAATGAAATCTGCAGACTATATCAAAATTCTGGATGAAATATCAGCGCAAAATCTTCATCTAGGGCGGCGATTTACTTTCCAGCAAGATAATGATCTCTAACATACGTCTAAATCAGTGACTGCGTGGCTCCAGACAAAGATGATTACAGTTCTTCCATGGCCTACAATGAGTCCTGACTTGAATCCTATTGAAAATCTATGGCAAGGATTGAAAGTTCGAATAAATCGTCATTCACTAAAAAACCTTCAGGAATTAGAACATTGGAGAATGGAAGAAAATCCCCCCCACCCTTAAAAAAAAGGCGATATGTTTTTCAGGCACTTTCCAAAGTTGCCGTACGCTAGGATCGACCTCTCCAGTCCGATAACATCAGGAATTCTCCTTTTTGAAAAATCGACTATGGTGAAATTCGAACCCGGGTCTCATGGTCAGAATGTGAACGTTCTAACCACGTGCAAATTGAGCTAAACATTACTTTACGTATGAAAAGTAAAAAAGAAACGTCAACATTACCCACGCACCCGGATTTCACCCGTCAACCCTTTTGTATTGTGTCTGTCATGGCCACCCGATTTTTCTGCTTTTATCTTCAGTGCACTTGACTCTGAAATGTTTAAAAAGTCATTTTGAGTTCGGTATAAACGCGACAGAAACCTAGACCCGCCGTTTTCTAGACACACCTACATTTCTCGCCATTATTGACTTTGCGTTAAAAGAAATTAGAACATAACTTTCTTCAATTCATGGGTGTAGGTGTTTCATAATCTATTTATTATTTTTTTTTTTTGGGTGTGTATACAGTTTTGTTAAGAGTAGATATTAACTGATATTAGGAGAAGAAAATAGATTTAAATAATAAGAGAGAGAGAAAGAAAACATGTATGGAGCACGCTAATGAGAAAAGAGGGGGAAAATAAATATTAATGAGTGGTTTTCAGAAAGAAAAAAGCAAAAAGATGAAAAAAATTCTCCTGTTGCAACGAATTTTATAAAAGACTAACGACCCAGAACATATTTTTTATTCCTTGAATGTTTCACTCGCGCCAAGTATTCCTGAACGCGTTCAAAAGACGTTAATAGCATAACGTTCCCTTCTTGAAAACCGCTACTTGTTTTCATTTTGTACTCCGCGCACAGCACAAAAGCCTCCTTTCTAGTCTCTCTAGGGAATCGCCATTCTTTTATTTTTGGTCTATAAAGAAGAGCGAATAAAATGTTATCGCTGAAGTTCTTAAAGAAAACTTAATGTTGATCTTTGTGAAAAGCTTGGATCTAATCATTCCTTTGTTTATTCACATGTCCACGCATTTTGAATCCATCCCAAAACATTATCATAAATATGATATGGACTACATAATTCTTTTTATATAATTTAGATGGGCAGGCATTGAGCTTGCCTCTGACCTATCATTAACAACTTAATGAGGTGTAGGTGACAAACTGTTTGGTCACAGTCAACACATCAAAAAACAAATTTTAACTTTACTTTATCACCAAGGAGCCCCAGTATTTTTGTCGATTGGAATGAACGGGTGTTCTCTTATGGATACCCTCTGCCTTGAAGGCTTCTTGAATTTTATACATATTATTCATCGCTAAAGATGCTGGAAAAATGGCCGGTTCCTTGTTTCGATCCAGGAAGAACCTGACTATTTCTACTTTGCTCTTCCTCTGTAAGGGACAGATTAAAGCGACGTATCTGGGTTGGACCTGCACAGTCTTCGCTTTCCAGTTTTGATAGAGTCCAAAAACGCCTATGCAGCTTTGTGGGTGATGATTTTTTTTTTCCGTACTAAAACCACTTTCTCACAGACAAAACGCTCGCCATTCTACCGCTAAATCCATAGAAAATGATCAGACTTGTTACCCAAACGATAACATTTTTCTCCAAGATCCGTCACTTACTTTGAGGTGGACCACATTAATTCCTTTCGTATTCCTTTCATAAGAAGCAAGTTCCACTCGGATAAATTCTTCCTGAGAACTTTAACTTTGTGGGACAAAATCACAACAGAATGCTTTCTCATTCATTACAAGTCCTTAAGTCATAAAAACCGCCTTTCGTAATTCTTTAAGCTCTTGTTCCTTGTATAGGGCGAATATTAGTAAAAAAAATCACATGGTTTGGAATCATATTATATACGTGATTCTAATATAAGTCTACATAGAAATAAGCAATTCTCTAAATTTAATATACTGTTCACGAAATCAGCGTATATCGAATACTCTACAAAAGATAAGGTAGATATTAATTCTTCAAGCAGAGGCGATGGAGAATGTTGCGCAAGATATGCTACAGCGTGTTTGGCAGGAGCTGGACTAACTATGTTGTGTCACACGTGGTGCGCGTATTATTTAAGCATAAATTCTAAGTAGACTAAATTGTCATGATGTCCTAGTTATAATATCTTTACAAAGCCCTATATTTGGAAAAAAAATCACGTGCTTCATCTCCAGTCAGAAGCAGTGGAGCTGGACGCTAACTAGATCTCCAGGACACTATCTACATCATTCGGACTATTGTCCTCATCTTTGTTGCCATATTTATCACAACGTTTCGGCCGTTGTACGCTCCGGCCTTATTCAGCTGGTTGAATGTCGAACTGAACCCTTTATTTCACTCGCCGGGGTAAACTGTTCTAGTTCCACGTGCCATGCCAGTTATCAGTTATCTCTTGTTAATTCCCCTTAATTTCCTTTTCTGGTACTTATAAACATAATGTATTCAGCAATAATTTTTTACCAGTGCTCATATTGCAATTTTTGCTGTTATCATTGCATTATTTTACCAGAGCGAATATTGCAATTTTTGTTGTTATTATCGCATGTTCCTGGCGCTCTTTATTACTGCTTCCAATATTGTATTCATTTCAATGCTTGGTCAGCTCAGGAGATTTTTGTGGCCTAACATATGTGCAACCTTCCAAACACCTGAAGAAGGCCGCAGCGTACAACGGCCGAAATGTTGTGATAAATATGGCAACAAAAGTGAACACAATACTCCGAATTAAGTAAATAGTATACATAATACCTGATCTCAGAAATATAGACAGATACAGATCTCAAGAAATATATTACATTTTCGGCCTGTGAATACCCACCTTTCAATTTGTCGTATGACAAACGAGGACTACCTGCATTAATATGATATCGTATTACCTATTATCAGTGTAGTATATGTGTATTTTTGAAAGATGCTGCATACATATATGTATACTTACCTGGCACAGAGCTCGTCCTTGGGCTGGTAAGTATCACTGCTATGACTAGCTTAGACCAGCTCTGACCAGCTTGGACAAGCTATGACCAGCTAAGACCAGGTTTGGACCAGCGGCCCGAATGGAAACATTCGGGTCCCCCACGTTAAAAACTGACCTTGTGTCACATCCTGACTCGGTGGGGGGGGGTCAAGTAAATATCTACATATATGTGCGTGCATATGCGTGTATGTGTGAGTGTGTCGACATCGCAATGTATGTACACACTGTCGCCCACCCATAAACTGACATTATTTGAAATGTGAAAGTAACTGCATCTTTCAGGCAAACAAGATTAAATAGGCTTCATCTTGAACAATAAAAGATTTATATATCGAAATTCGAACGAGATATTCAAAGGGATGTAGATTTTATAAACGATTTCGTAAAGCTTCACATGTGCACCACTTGTAGAAAATTCGTTAGTCAAGCTCCTGCCGAACACGCTGTAGCATGTCTTGCGTAACATTCTCCAACGCCTCTGCTTAAGTTGATCTAGGCTTGTAGGTAGAGGAGCTATAGATCTGTCCTTTCATATGACCCCATAGAAAAAAACAAAACAAAACAAAAAACAAACATGTGAACCTTGTGGCCATTTCAACAGCAGATTGACTTTATTACTGACACGCCGGATACATTTTCAGGGTAGATTCGCATTTAGATAAATTCTTCAGTCAACTTAGTTATTTACACATTTTGTTAAAATTTGAGATCATTTGAGCGAGAATTGCGATATCATGAATTTTTGATTCAGAATGAAAATAAAATCATATTTTTTAAGGGCAAAGAAATTTTGATCTTCAAAATATTTCTATATCCAATCCTGAGTTCCCTGAGTTTCTGCATAGATTAACCACATCCTGTAAGGCGTGTCATTTGGTTTCAGACCCGACATTAAGGTAGCTACTATTATCATGACAAAAGCTGAAATATTTGAGGCAATAGCGGAAGAAAGGTGCATCCTTTAAATATTAGTGGGCGGCAATATAGTACATGACTGGTCTGTCGGCGAATTCGTGGGAAGTAAATTTCAGTCGCCTTCCTTGGAACACGAAAATGTTAGAAGCAAAAACTAAAGGGGAAGAAAAAAGGGTAGAAAGAAAGAAAGAAAGAAAGAAAGAAAGAAAGAAAGAAAGAAAGAAAGAAAGAAATTTAAGGAGGATAATGGAGGAAAAGCGTTAGAAGAAAAAACGGAAAGAAGAAAGGAATGAATGAAGGAAGGAGGGACAGAAATAAGGAAGGAACGAAAGAAGGAAAGAATGGAAGAAGTATGGAATGAAGGAAAAAAAAAGAAAATAAAGTACGATAATGGAAGAAAAGCGTTAGGAGAAAGGAAGAAGAAAAGAAACAAATAAACACACACACACACACACACACACATACACACACAAAAGAAAAAGAAAGAAATGAAAGAAATTTAAGTCGGATAATGAAGGAAAAGTGTTAGATGAAAAAAAGAAAGAAAATATTAAGAAAGAAAACGGATGGAAGGCAAAAAGCAGGAAGGAAGAAGGAAGTTAGGAAGGAAGAGAGAAAGGATCGACGGAAAGAAGGCAGGAAGAAAAAAGAAAGACAGTTAAGGAGGATAATGGAGGAAAAGCTTTAGAAGAAAGAAAGAAAGAAAGAAAGAAAGAAAGAAAGAAAGAAAGAAAGAAAGAAAAGAAAGAAAGAAAGAAAGAAAGAAAAGAAAAGAAAGAAAGAAAGAACGTAAGGAGGATAATGGAGGAAAAGCTTTAGGAGAAAGAAAGAAAGAAAGAAAGAAAGAAAGAAAGAAAGAAAGAAAGAAAGAAAGAAAGAAAAAGGAAAGAAGGAAAGAAAGAAAGAAAGAATGTAAGGAGGATAATGGAGGAAAAGCTTTAGGAGAAAGAAAGAAAGAAAGAAAGAAAGAAAGAAAAGAAAAGAAAGAAAGAACGAAAGAACGTAAGGAGGATAATGGAGGAAAAGCTTTAGGAGAAAGAAAGAAAGAAATAAAGAACGGAAGGAAGGAAGAATAAAGAAAGAAAATTAAAGAGGATAATGGTGGAAAAGTGTTAGAAGAAAAAGAGAACGAAAAGAAAGAACGAAGGCACGAAGGAAGGAGGAAAGGACGGAACGAAAGAAAGAAGGAAAAAGAAAAAAAATAAGGAAGATAATGGAGGAAAATCGTTAGGATAAAGAAAGAAAGAAAGAAAGAAAGAAAGAAAGAAAGAAGGAAAGATAGAAAGAAACTTAGAGAAATCAAGAAAAACAGATAACGAAGATTGAGAGAGAAAGATTGGAAGAAAAGTGGAATAAATCAAAAAGAGAAGGAAATAAGAATGAATGAAAATACGAATAAGACAAACATGAAACGAAGATGGCGACCAAAAAATCATTAACTGAATACTGTGTATTGGGGTGTGTTGTAAGGAACGAACTGATAACACTCAAAATACAAAGAACTGATACACTTCTATTAAATGGACTGTTCCACTAGTAATATGAGCATGTATGGTGTTGGTTTTAGGGGGTTGCATTTCAGCTTCAGACGAACATGTAAATATCAACTTGTATTGTTCTTGTTTAAATAAACCCTTCTACTTTGAAGTTGCCGTTCTAGTTATTATTTTCAATAACCACCCGGACAACATTACACAAAGGGGTATCAGAGAAACTGACTGATTCAGGGTGTAAATTGGGTGAAAGGGTAAAACCCCATGTACAGTCAATCGTAAGATCATCAAAGTGAATTGAATATAAAAGGTTTATACCATGGGGTGATCGCCGACGTAGGGTAAAATAAGAAATCAGAATATCAGGGAGAATTCCTTCTTCTTCTTCTTCTAATTCTTCCCTCTCTTTCTTATCTCTTTCTCTCCCCCCACCCACATACATACACACAAAATGTAATGGAACGAAAAGAGTATTGATTCAAAGGTTCATAGCATTAATTTAAAAGGGTGCTCAATATCAGCAGTGGAGAAATCGTTCTTTATTATAAAGGCGTTACATACGGACAAACAAGTACTCACGACAAGTATGCATTTTTGTTTCAATGCGAACGCTTCTCGACAGGTAAGGAACATGGTTTTAAACGATTCTATTTAAAAAAAAAATCTATTTAAAAATTCTACTTATGAAATACCACTTTCTTTTTTCACTATTCATAAAACAACAATTCTAGGGCCAATTTAAAATAATTACCAGAGGTTCCCTCAAACATTTGATCTGTAGCATATATATATATATATATATATATATATATATATATATATATATATATATATATGTGTGTGTGTGTGTGTGTGTGTGTGTGTGTGTGTGTGTGTGATATGATATGTTTTATTTTTGAGGTAGAAAAGGCCAAGAATAAAAGTCACTTCCGATCGTTTATTAATTTCTTTTTTTCACTTCCGGAACTCTCTTGCGGTTTCTGGCATTATCACATTGCTTGGAGTAAAATGATTAAAAAAATAAACATATTCCAGTCAGGATTCGCATTTTCTTTGTGAAGACATTCACACTGTAGGCAGGTAGACAATAATTTCGCTGTTTAAAAACAAAAGGAGTGTATTTCTCAGACACCTTTGCAGACTAAATATAATGTTTACTGGAATAATAATAATAATAATAATAATGTAAGAACGATGTACTACAGGCGTTTGCTACTAAATACTGAGCTGAATTAAAAAAAAAACAAAAACAGAATATCAGCCATAAACACTTTGGCTGTCCCTGTGGTGCAATAGAGTTTCAACATCCTTAACTGGACCAGAGCTGATATTAACTGAATGAGCACCAAAACGAGAAACCGTCTCAATTGCCACCGACATGCATGATCGTCTCTATGTGCCCAGATCCGAAGGAGGGAGAGGATTAGTTCAACTAAAACTGTCTTACAAAACTAGAACACTCGGCATTTAAAGATACCCGGAAACTACAGAAAACTGCATAATGATCTGCGTCAAAGAACATAGTAATTGACTATATTCAGTAATAAAGGAAGCCAACAAGCTGAAATGGAGTTTCAAATGTCCGAATTCCAAACAATATTAAAATAAAAATAAAGAAAACATGCTTATGGTTATTAAATAAATTATTTGTATTTACAATCATAAAAAATAATGAAAATAGTTTTTAGTTGAGTTAAATTCTTTGGGTAGTTGATTTATAAAAGTTAGAGTTTAGTAGAGACTTTTAAATACTTTGTCCACAGAAAAAAAATGTTGATGATAAAAGACTTTCATCGTTAATGAAGACTCGCCGGCACATAATCGTTAGCAAAGATTCACTGACCGTCCAAGCTGTTGTTTTGGCCTATTCATTTGAAGTCGCTTATGCATGTTTCTTTCGGTACGTGCTTCAGTCGCATCTCTGTTCTCTGAATATTTGTGGTTTTTTATAAGAATTTTTCCCGAGAGTAGGCACGAGAAAAATAGTCTTTTATTTTTCTCTGATTTGTCAAATATTTCACATTACGATATTGATTTCTAACCAATAGACAATTTGATTTAAACTGTGTGTGTTGCATTGTGGAATCTTTTTTTGTTTGTTTGGAATATTGTCTGCAATTGGGTAGAAGATATAGTTTGGACGTGTTTCAATATGTTTCTATAATTGTGCTGGAAATAGGGTCTATTTCCTATTGGTTCATTTTGAGTTGTACCAGAATTTTGTTTTTCAATGTAAGCATTTTTGTCAGGTTCGTTGGTATATAGGTGTTTTCATGCCGTTGTCATAATTATCTCCATCAATTTTAACGCTTCTTCTTGAATCAATGAATCCTTTACATATTAAAAATCCTGGCAACCTAGTCGATAGACGATGAAACTTTAATCCTAAGTGTTTATAATGTTAGTAAGAAAATTTCTTAATACTGGTAAATTTGAGTTGATCAAGGGATCTTAAATTGACAAGTACAGATAACGCAACAAACAGTGTCGTTTAAATTTTAAAACAAAGGATAAAGAATGAAAAATGTGAAGACAGATGAAGAAAATTTCATTTTGAAATATCTTTGTAGTCTTTATTCAGACATCTCAACGTTTCTTTTTGCCGAGATCGGCCATGTACAGTAGCTGTGAAATAGTAATTAGAAGAAGAAAATGAAAAATAAAATACATTCATTCAATTTGTTTCGAAATTTTCAATGAAGAAATACGACGAAAAAGAAATTTTTTCTGTAATATAATCGTGCATTGCACAATGTTTACCCCAAAACTTATTTCCGCGAAATGTATAGATAGATAGATAGATAGATAGATAGATAGATAGATACACATAGTGAGCCAGACAAACCTACCTAGGTTTCACCTAAATGGGTCGTCAGGGAAAGTAAGGCTCTTAAGGTTGTATTGAGCTCTTTTGTTAGTTAGTTGTTTACTTGTATCGGGGTTTTTTCTTTGGGCTTCAAACCTGATTCTGTGCCAATTTTTTTGTCGGCAGAAGTTCATGTTTGTAGCTCTTTCTTTTTTTAAAACCTTTTTTTTCCCTCGAGATTGATTTGATTATTAGCAAATCAAAAATTCGAGGGTTTTTAGAAACGAGTCGAGTTATCTATAAAATAATAATATATATATATATATATATATATATATATATATATATATATATATAGTATGAGCCAGGTTTCCCTGACGATCCGCTTAGGGAAACCTGGGTAGGTCTGTCTGGTTCACTAGGTTTATCTAGGTCGGCTCTACGGTTGTATTGAGCTCTTTTTAGTTAGTTGTTTGCTCGTGTCGGTTTTTTTTCTTCTTTGGGCTTCAAACCTGTTTCTGTGCGATTTTTTCGACAGACCTTCATGTGTCTAGCTCTTTCTTTTTTTAAAACTTTTTTTTCTCCCTAGAGGTTTTTTGAGACGAGTATAGTTACATATATATATATATATATATATATATATAATTATTCATTTAAAAATTATAACTTAAATATGTTATAAGATCACTAGAAAAATAGCCATTTTGTATCAACACCTCCGGTGTCTTATCAAGTGATGATGTTGAATCTCTCTCTCTCTCTCTCTCTCTCTCTCTCTCTCTCTATATATATATATATATATATATATATATATATATATTGAAGTTTATTTTATCAGAAACATTTTCTTCAAACATCTTTCGATAAATATAAAGGACATGAAATAAGAAGACGACAAAGACTCAACATGTGACGTCGTCCCCTGGTCGCAGCGCCAAATGTGACGTCCTATCCTGGTCTACCACGGCACCAACTGTGACGTCCTCGCCGCGGCGCCAGCTGTTCGCTCCTCGCTACTCCGTTCGGGTGTCGTCGCTCCAAACGTGACGTCCGCCTGTCGCGTCAGTCGTGTTGTCTCGTCCTGTGACGACCAACTGGCTTGGTATCGGTCGCGACACCCAAATGTGACGTTCTAACCTTTTGGTGATTCGGGTGGGAATCTGGTTAGATTTGATATCAGCCTCGTCGTTCCCAACTCGCTTCCAACGCCTAGTTACCAAGGTAACTGCATTGATCTCCAGTCCGCCTACCCACGTTGTGAATTGATCTTAGGCAGACGAGATCAATCAGTAGTTGCGGCCGTAATGCAAATTGGGTTCAACGGAGTTGACACCACACAAATATGCATAAAATAAAATAAAATGAAAACTCAAAAGTTCAAGATATCAAAGAAAAAGATAACAAACTTTATGTCTAGTTGTTCGATACATAGGACCGCGTCTATCTCCCGACCCGTTCTATGGATTGTGACACGTTGTTTTCCGTTAGACGGGTTTTAACGCTTCAAGTTGTTTGCTCTTTAAGAAATTGTTTTTTCGGTGTGTCTTCGGACGAAAGTCGAAAAATTGGATTGAAGAGGAGTCCGGAATGTGCGTGAATCTTTCAAGTCAGCTATCTGCGAGGCGGAAGCCTCTCGAACCGAACTGGAACTCAACTCGAACAACTGCAACTATTCTCGAACTCAACTGATTTCTCCTCGCTGTGGCTTCGCTTATATGGACGCCGACCAAAACCGGGGTGGGTTTGTCGGCGTCGGGGGTTCCTCGCTAATTCTAATTACATATCCACCTCTCTGGTTAGGAATTTCCACTTTTTTCCATTTTGGGAGCTTTTCTTACTCCCACCCTCTCACCAGACTTCAGAGGGGCGTGAGCTGCCCTCCCCACTTCTTCGTAGCAGCTTCTCATACCTATCCTCTGGATGGGCGGCGACAGCTTCCTTCGTGCGTCACGTGATCACCACTCGACCAATGATGTCTTAGTCGGGCGTGGACGAATCCGCGGCTTTGTTTCAGAAAAAAAAATATCTTGCTTAACTAAAAAAAAAATAATCTTTTCTTTTCCTTTTCTTCCTCTTAATCGCAGTTATCATTTTCTCTAGCCGCAAACAGGACAATACTACGACGGTGGTCATAACTCTTGTTCTACACCTGGACTTCGTCAGTACTTATCGCTAATTATCAGAATGGGTGGTCTTTTTAGCATGACCAAACATCGCCCCGACAAGAACATTTCTAAATTCCCATTCATTTCCTTTCGGTACACATTTCTGATAACATAATTTTATTATCGCAGGCTAAAGATGTCCCGTCGAAAGAAATCGGTCAGTGGACACATCGTGTATCGAAATAACATTTTCATTTGGATTTTTCTTTGGCCAATCGGCCAGCAGTTTGTTTACGTATCCCAGATAACACAGCCGTTGCCAAAACACACCCGATTCCTTTATCCACTCAGAATTTCCCTGTCATTGTAATGACACTCTTTCGCCATTTGTTACTTATCAAAATATCCTTTACCCATTGTCTCTTAGCCGTGGTGTTCTGCTTATCATCCACGCTTTGGGTCTCGCCTCTTTTTTTTTTCTTTTCTTTCTTTTCTTTTTCTGCCTCGGTAAATGGTGCCACACAACATATTTTTTAGTAACGAGATGCACAATAATGATAAGCAGGACAAATTCGCTTTACCAAAAGTTAATTAAACACAATATTTCTGCTGTAATAACCGCAAAACGTGTAAAATATATTGCACAATATGGAAAACTGCAAACCTTGTATTTAATAATCAAAATAAAATCATTTAATCTAAACTAGCGATGACCAATAGTGTTTCAATTTCACTACCCATTACAAAACTGTGTCTTCTCATAAATCTATTACCTATATCGGACGTACAACCACCTCCTTGAGTAGACACCTCACATGTCACTTACCAGAGCAAAGTTCTATAAAAACATTTATCAGCCAATAATCTGCAAGAGCCCTTAAGAAAGATATTTGATAACACTAGATCCACTTGTAAATTAAATGTACGAAAACACGTCGTTATAAAAGAGGCCTTGTACATCAAACAAATCTCCCTCACCATCAACTTTACCCTGCATAACAATGGTAATAGAGTTCTGAGAGGTTTTTTTTTTTAAAAAATAGAGTGCCGCCCACTTGAATTCGAGCCATGCCCAACACATGATGGCTCAGAATTATCCACGCTACTCTAATTCATGAATAATACATCTCACACAGTCAAAACATGAAAGTAAACCAACACCACCAAAAACAACCACCTTGAAAATGGCTAAAGCGCTTGGGGCAATCGACGATATGGATATTTTTGGATTCACTCACTCAAATCAAAACGGAGAATTTAAAAACGCTGCGAAAAATAAATAAAAAAATAAATAAATATTTCCTTGTCCGTCATATTTAACGATATATATATATATATATATATATATATATATATATATATACGTGTGTGTGCGTGCGTGTGTGTATGTGTGTGTGTGTTTTCGTTCTTACTGCCCATGACTCAGTATATCGTCTAGTTCTTATTGTTAGTACTGCTCAGTTATAGTAATATTATTGCGCATTCCGTCAATTATATTTTAATCTGTTGAAGTCATTTTGAAGGAAGAATTCAGTAGTATTTTACAATTCAGAACCCACTAACTCAGTAGTTGTATATATTTAGCATATTTTATATTTGTAAGCCTCAATGATAGTTTTTGGTAGCAGGACCTTTAGCACCAATCGGTCTAACGGAACTAATCGACTATCTTCAACAATCAACATTAGAGACCTTTTTGTATATATATATATATATATATATATATATATATATATATATATATATAAAATATATATATATATATATATATATATATATATATATATATATATATAATGAGCAGTTTTTGTGTTCGCCCCTCCCACCAAATATATATATAAAGGGGTCATTGAAGTCAACATCTCATCAAATATATATATATATATATATATATATATATATATATATATATATGAAGAAATATAGTCTTATGGTGTGCTATATTTATGGGATAAAGTGCTCAATATTTCAGAGATAGAGCGTGTGTAAATATAAAATGAACATAGAAGTCAACACTTAGAGGCGACAGTCTGTTTCATGCTATATGCAATCGTGGCCTGACAATTGCGTATAGCATCAAAACAGACTGTCGCTCTAAGTGTTGACTTCTATGTTCACTTTATATATATATATATATATATATATATATATATAGTGCACATCGAAGAAAATATCCAGCAGAAAAAGTCTGTTTCATGCATTAGGGCAATCTTCAGACCGTGTGCGTTGTTTTTGCTTCTACTATTTATCCAGATGCTGGTTAATGATGCATTATGGGTAGGTCTTGTATTATTCCAACGGTTATTTTATTGGGTAGTAACGGTGATGTTTCAATTTTCAATTTTTTCTAGGGGTCGCTCTGAAGTAATAAATGTGGATTCGAATGCAGTTTTGTGGTTCTTTTATACGCTTGTTTGTTTAAGTTTTTTACTCATTATTTATTATTGACTAATTTATTTATTGTCGATGGTTATTATTCATCGCTTCTTAATTGATTTATTATTTGTTTACTTATTTATTGATTTGCTTTATTTTATTTTAATTATTCATTTTTTATAGTTATTTTTTTTTATATTTTATTTATTTATTTTTGCTTTCAATTTTAGTTTGCGATTTTTAAGTAAAGTTGTAAAATTTTTTTTCGAGTCTGCATTTTGAACTCCAATTAATTATTTAGTAACTTGTGTTGACTTGGTAAGGTAATTACAGTTATTTTCTCCTCTCGACAGAATTTACAGTTTGGGATTATTTGTGGTAGGCTGATGCTCTTTTCCTTATTTCTGATGCTAATTTTGCTTTGTTTGGTTTTTGTTTTTAATTTCCCATATATTTTTAGAAATATTTAGTGTTCGCGTATTTATCGTTTATAAAAAAATGTTTTTTGTCCGTAGTTTCTTTGTTTTCAAGCTTCTTCTGTTACTCCTATGTATATTTTTCTTCGTTCTCTTCTGATTTTACAGTGTATTAGTATATTACATTGTTCTGCATCAATTGCCGTTTAAGGAACATTCGTTCTTTACTCTGCAGTTACAAGTGTCATTGATTTATACGAGTGGTTTGTTTCTTGTTTTGCTATTGTGCTTTATTTTTTTTTAATTATTTTTGACATTTTCGAGGTGCAACTGTAGCTGAGTTTTAGTGTGTTTTGTTTAATATCTTTTCGAGAGTGCATGATGGGTGGGGAGTTATTGTGTATGAGTTTAATGAATATTTTCCTATTCTTGTATTAACGTTTTTGTTTTACGGTGAGATGAAGCATATGAGGTTTCTTTTCCTGTTGGCATTTTTTGCTCTGTGATATGTATGCGAATGTCATCGAAAATCCACTATCTTTTGAGGGCTGTTTCATAATCTTTCTTGGCTTCGTTGATTTGTGTTTCACTGGAAGGAATGTCAGATAATTTGTGCTTAATTGATTGTGGAATCTACAGGATTGTTGATGACGTGCGGTTGGAACATCTGTTTCTATAAGTTGGTTTGCCATTCGGTTATCTATATGATTGATATGGAACTTTTCTTAGTCTGATTGTGACATTTCAGAAATCTTCTTCGTTAAGGTTTGTTTTTATGTCGATGTCGAATCCCATATATTTGAAAGTTTTTTTTTTCATTTTTTTTTCTCGTTTTGTCCATTTTCTATTTGTCACAGTGTCTTAGGATTGTGAGACCGTCGTCCCTAAAGAGACCTACGCCATTTTATAAATTATTTTAATTATCGATAATGATCAGACTGAAATCGATAATGAAAAGACTATGATAGATAGATAGATCGATAAGAAACAGACTGTTATAGACAGACAGATAATGATACGACAGTGATATATAGATACATAAATAGATAGATGGAGAGAGAGAGAGAGGGGTAAGGATCAGGCTGTTGGATATATATATATATATATAGATAAATAGATAGATAGATAACATATAGACTGTTATAGATCGCTAATGAACAGATTATTATAAATCCTTAATTAACAAACTGTTATAGATAGACAGACAGATAGATATATAGATAGATAGATAATGATCAGACAGTATTAGATAGATACATATATATATATATATATATATATATATATATATATAGATAGATAGATAGATAGATAGATAGATAGATAACGAACGGACTGTTATAGATCGTTAATGAACAGACTGTTATAGATAGATAGATAGATAGATAGATAGATAGATAGATAGATAGATAGATAATGATCAGACTGTTAGAGATAGATAGATAGATAGATAGATAGATAGATAGATATTTTTATTCCACCTTATCACGTAAATATCTTTGACAATGTTATGAAACCAGTCAACATGATTGAAGAATTTTATGAGTTCAGAAAACAAAAATGATGATTTATTTGCAACAAAATGAAGTCCCCTCCCACTACTGTCCTTTCTCATACAACATTTCAAAACTGCAGACAGTGGTTCATCGTTTTAAAAGGGTTCAATGACAATGCGTTCTATTTTTTTTTATTTTTGAATGCATAATCAATTCCTGCCCATATAGAAGTATAGCCACCCATATGTCGACTTACATGCATATGTAAGTAGCTATATAAACATTACTTGGTCATTTGAAAATGAACCGAAAACTCTGTCCTCGTGTAAAACAAGTTATTCCCTGATATTCCACGTTTTTGTTGCATAAACATTTCGGCGGCAAGGTGGGTCTAGACACCTTGACCCTCTGCAAACAAAGTCTACATTCGTGCCAGGCAGAGAGCAGACGCCTTTCTGACATATTCTCGCCCTCTCAACTTTGTTTTGTTTACGCCAGTGATTTACTAATACCATATTGCGAAATGTCCTTAATGTTTAGTTGATTGTATTTTATCTACATGTATCTATCCATTATGAACAGGGTAATGACATATTTTATTCGTCTTCAAAATATCATTCAATTTCCAAATTCAGGCAACGTTTTGTGTCAAGCTATTTATCTTCATCAGTTTAAAATTTCATGATTTTCAAATTAGGGATCTCCTGAATACTGGAGATCTATCATCATCGTCTTTATCTCGTATCTAATAACTGAATTTATTCTTTGCTGATCGCTTCCTTTATGATGATGGCTTTGTTTACTTAGTTCACCGCCAACATTCAGTTCTAGAAATATTCCAATTTCACCAGTACCTATTCTCGTCATTCATTCCATTTTATTTTGCAACAGTTGGTTAGACTGAAAGAAAATCAGAGTAGAAAGATATGCCGATGGCGTAAATATGTTTAAGGCGGTCCTTAGCTTGCTAGGAAGTGAACCACACAATTGGTTTCGTGATCTTCATCTGCGGCATAAATGAAATGAGTTGTGTAGAATCCAGTTATGAAACTGCAAACGACTGCCGTTATAATTTCGAGAGGCGCCTGCTGTAGCATGTCCTTCATGCGTAGCCCTCTTCATCAACTGTTTTAAGATTGGTTCAGATCTGTTACAACCATCATCTGTTTGTTTCTCCGTTGGGGTCTTTGGAGTTGGCCACGATTAGACTGGGTCCTCGTTTTCGACTTTGCCGCCAAGGTTGACACTATCAGCAGTTTACAAATCCCGATGACATCGCTCCCAGTGACATTAAATCACAGGAAGTGACCATATCTCATATAGTGATTTTCCAAGCGTAGCTCAGATGTGGCACAAGGCCGGAAGTATAGGGCACCCAGTGAGGATCGAACTCACTACTCAGTCGTACTTGTTCCAGCGAGACAAGCTTGCCAACCATTACACCACCCCGAGGTGCCCAACAATATCTCATATAGAACGTCCTCATTGCTTTTAAACGGATAACGTATTTGGTGATATTCAAACATCGAGGTGCAGCAGGAATTTGAAATAATCATTTTTCCGTTAGATTTTGACTAAAGTTGGGAATAGAAATAAATGTTTCCAGTGTGTTTAAATCTTCTCGTGTGCATCAGATCATTTGTTCTTCACTAATTTAATTTTTTAAAAAAAGAATCAATAAAAAAAATAGTCCATCAACCCACGCAGTCACTTAATTAAAAGACAATTAACGATATTATAGCAAAGAGAAAATTTCTTCCAAATCAATCGGAAATGAAATGCAAACCTCCGCATCCATTCGTAATATTTTGGACTAACAATTTTTTTTTTTTAAATCGTTTTTGTACAATTTGCTTTATTAGGTTTGGGTCAAGACTGACCGAAATTATTTCTCTTAATTCTCCTCTTAAGTTTTTTGCTTGAATTTTAATCGATCAACAGTTTTTTGAGAAAGAAAGAATTGTATTTATTTCTTAATGAAGATTATTTTCGCTTTTGAATTTTTAATTTATTTTAACATAATCGATAATAACAACAAAAATTGCAATATGAGCTCTGGTAAAAACATGCAATAATAACAGCAAAAATTGCAATATGAGCACTGGTAAAAAATGATGCTAAAGACATTAGTTTTATAATACACAGAAATTCAAACACAGATGTCCTCAAGGACACATGGCACAGTGGATAAAGGCGGTAGTTAGGTCAAGTGACATGATCCAAAGAGTGTGAGTTCAATACCCAGTTAAGGCAGTGAATTAACAGAAGATAACTGGTAACAACCATTAGACACAGCTTGTCTACCCCAGTTAGCGGAATAAAAGGTTCAGTTCGACATTCCAACCACCTGAAGGCCATAACGTATAACGAAACGCTGTAATAAGTATAACGACAAAGATGAGGACAATAGTGCAAAAATGTAAATAGTTTAACATTTTCATTGAGTTATTTTTTCTATTTTTCGTGATTTTTCTCTTTGCTAAAGTGTTTCTATCAAATCTTTTAGTTTTTTTTTTTGTTTTATACTTTATTTTTATTTATTTTACTTTTTCATTTATTTTTGTTCTGTCATTCAACATTTTTCAATCTATTGTAAAATGTTTAAATTTTTTATTAATTGGCTGCTTATAAAATACTAGCAGTAGAGCCCGGCGTTGCCCGGGGATGTAACAGTAAGAGATAGATCAAGTATCGACCATCATAAAGACTGAAAAATAAAATTGACAAAGATTATTGTTTAGGGTTGACGGACACGCATGTCTTAATTAGTTGTTTTTTTTTTTTTTTATGAATTGGTCAAACCCAAACTCAAACAAAAACCTTGTTTTGAATCGTTATGAGTCTACCGATTGAATAGAATTTTATTATAAACAATTGTCTTGTAAATGGAATTTTTAAAGCATTCTGAATGTAAAAATAAAGAAAAAAGTGTGCAAGACAATAAGAAACACTACCTACCCCCCAAAAAGTGAAGTTTTGTTGAAATCGGTTGAAAAATGTAGGAAATCCGATCCCATATATAAGCGAACACACACACACACACACACACACACACACACACACACACACACAACCTGGGTTTTATAATAAGTAGAACTCGATATGAGTTGTCACCCTTTCAATTTTGCGATGCCCCTTAATCGTGTTTTCAAATTGATTTCGTGCAAAAACAATTGTGTTTTTTCCAATTTTTGGCGCTGTCAAAACCACCGCAAGGTAATTTTACGTAGTCCTGTGAAGTTTTGTTGAAATCGGTTGAAAAATGTAGGAAATCCGATCCAATATATAAACGTACAGACACACACACACACACACAACCTGGGTTTTATAATAAGTATGATGATGATTACGCATGAATCGAAATGGTTCAGTGTTTCATTTGTAGAAAACACGATGCGGGTCATCAAATTATAAACTGTTATTTAGCAGAACTTTACAAGCGTTTAGAGACCGAAGATTTTAGCATGTTACTGTCTTTCTTTTTCTCTACACCCCCAACAACACACACACACACACACACACACACACACACACACACACACACATATATATATATATATATATATATATATATATATATATATATATATATATAAACAGGATTTATGCAGAATTAAGAACATTAGAAAAAAATGCATAACACCAGTTAACAATAGCAAAAAAATTAGATTAATTATTTTTTATAAAATAATTAAAACCTCTAACCTTATAGTTAAAAATAATAATTCACCTCCTAGAACAAAATTAAGTAGAGCAAAGATAATTTACGAATTTAAATGCTCATTAAGAAACTGTATTCTTTATCAATGAAAATTCGTAAATAATTATATAGGCCACACTACAACATGCTTGACATGCAGACTAACTCTACACATTTCTGACAATAGCTCAATTAGATCTCATTTAAATATTCATGGAGACCTACCGGCCACTATTTGGAAGATACTTGTCGACAACACTAATATAAAAAAAAAAAAAAAAAAATAATGGAAGCCTTATTAATAAAAAAACAAAACAAACCAACACTTAATAATATTTTGAACATGGCCATAATATCTTGACCGTGTTTTTGAAAAAAAAATGTAAACATTTATAAAACATACATACAAAAAATTATTTTTATTTTAACAGTTAAAACATAATCCATGAAAATGGCTAAATGTATAGCCGAAAGCGCTCGGATTAAAAGAACATTCGGACAGTTTTTATATAATTTATCATCCGAAAAGGAAAAAAAAATTAGATCGCATGAGAAATTGTATAAAAAACTAAATAAAAGGAAGTCTGTCGTTTTCAATGAAATGTGTATGAAAGAAGGATTGCTGCTTAAATACACAAATATATATATATATATATATATATATATATATATATATATATATATATATATATATATATTTATTAAAAAAAACTTGAAAATGCAACTGTACAACTGTGTATTTACAGTAAATTTGCCGGTTTCACAGTTAAATTGAGATGAAAAGATGTATGGCGATGGCGTGATATGTATCGCATCTCATATGTGGGATACATAAACAAACCTTACTTCCATATATATATATATATATATATATATATATATATATATATGAAAATAAATAATATATAATTATATAAATCCCGAGAGCTCAATGTAATAAAAAGCAAGCAAATTAATTAACAAATCGGAGACTTCAGAAAGCCATGGTAATATTTTAATTTCCGAGACCAATAAAATTCGGTTTCGTTTAAATCCCGGTTTCAAAACGATGCATTGTTTTGAAATAAACATATATATATATATATATATATATATATATATATATATTAGAATGTTACAACAGAAAGCCATGGTATGTATGTATATTATATACATTTCGACGACATCTCAATAACTGTCTGCATGTTTGTGTGCATAAGACAAAATGTGTAGTCTGTGCGTTTCAAAATTAATTAGCCAACCAGGATTTTCAAACCCCAAAATATATGATTAGAAGCATATATTATAGTTTGAGAATTCTGCAAGTTATTGCATTTTTACCATATAGAATGAGGTATATGAACAGAGCAGAATCTCTTTGAGCCTGAAACAAATTCGATTCTCTGGGACAGCGATATTCAAACGATAGATAGATATGAACAGACGGAGAAAGATAGATAGATAGATAGATAGATAGATAGATAGATAGATAGATAGATATGCAGACTGAGATAGATAGATAGATAGATAGATAGATAGATAGAAAATATGAACAGACTGAGATAGCGATAGATAGATAGATAGATAGATAGATGAATAGATATGAACAGACTGGGATAGATAGATAGAAATGATATGAATAGACCAAAAGATAGATAGATGATTAGAATGGATAGATAGATTATAGATTGATAGATAGATAGATGCAACAGATTGGGATAGATTGGATAGATACCATGGATAGAATGATGGATGGATATGAGACTGGGATGGATGGATGGATGGATGGATGTGGATAGACAGAATGGATGGATGGATTGGATGGATGATGTGGACGGACTGGGAATGGATGGATGGATGGATGGATGGATGGATGGGACAGATGGATGGATTCAAACTGGGGATAGATAGATGGATGAACAGACAGGGATGGATGGATGGATGGAATGGATAGATGGAGATATGGATGGAGATGGATGGATGGATGGATGGATGGATGGATGGATAGATAGATAGATGGATGGATGGATGTGAACAGACTGAGATAGATAGATAGATAGATAGATAGATAGATAGATGGATAGATATGTGAATAGACTGAGATAGATAGATAGATAGATGGATGTGAATAGAGATAGATGGATGGATGGATAGATAGATAGATATGAATAGACTGAGATAGATAGATGGGATGGATAGATGGATGGATGGATGATGAATGGACTGAGATGGATAGATAGATAGATGGATGGATGGATATGAATAGACAGAGATAGAGATAGATAGATAGATGGATAGATGGATAGATGGATAGATAGATAGATATGAACAGACTGAGATAGATGGATAGAGATAGATAGATAGATAGATAGATAGATAGATAGATATCAGAAGACTGAGATGCTCCATCAATCTACATACAATTCTAATTGAAGATTTCTATTTATGATAGATAAGAGTCATATGATTACGAATCGATATTGGTCACATGATATGCGTTCTGTATATTTGGCTTTAGTCGTCTCTGAAATTAATGCTTCGTAAAATGGAAAATTGTTCGATGCTTATTTTCTTCTCGATGCTTTATAGAAGGCATCATTTTCTTATAAAAAAAAAAGATATCCCATTTATCGAGGAAAGCAGGGAGGAGGAGGAGGAACTACAAAAAATCACTTCTTAAGAATTAAATGAAATTGTTTCCGTCCACTTCCGTCAATGTGAAAACTCATTTGCATATGGCTTTTCCAAATTAGACTTTTCAATCCCGCTTGGAAATCAAAAACTAATTAGTTGGTGGGGGGCGTACCATGTGGATGGTTGGATGGTGAGTGCAGAGGTGGGAAAACGCTGAAGGAGTAGCCTCGTTTTCATTTGGGGACAAGGAGCACCGACCCATTTGTGGTCTGAAGATGGCAAAACTTCTCATTATCTTCGTAACTTTTCTTTTTTTTCTAAATGTGGTGCGAAAGGGTTCCAATTCTAATTACGACGTCAAATTAAAAATTCTCCCTTTGATTGAGATGAGATTTAATTAACCGATATTGTCTACACTATAGTCTACAGATACATCCCAAAATAACTTTTTCACTTCAATCCGGGAACATTTCAATTTATTTCAAAATTGGAAAAGCAAAACAACATTTTTTTCTCCCTTGGAACTATCGAATTAAAATATTCTGTATTAGTAACTCTAATTGCGACAATGAAATACCCAGCTGTATGGGATCCTTACTAATTTCGTCAGAATCTATTAATAGCCTGCATTTTTGGCAACTGTATCCTGGAGTCCTTCGTTGGTACAGAGTTTAATATAGGTACCCACCCAGCCAAAAATGTGATACATAAAGTTTAAAATACATTTAGAAATTAAAAATATTTCTTAAAGTTTTTTGGTTTTAATTCCAAGCTAAAATTTAAATTTAATCTAACCAGTAAGCAAAGTAATTTTCTGTATTTCAAACCGAATTCAAATTGATTAGAATTATTTTTTCTGACTATCAGCAAAATCTATAAAGTCGTCCATATGAATAAATTTGCCAGAACAACATAATTCTCTTTATTAAAAAAAAAATCTTTAAAAAATAAAATATGCTTTTCTGAAAATTCATTTGAGGAAGGTTAACTGAGTAAAATTTAATTAAAGTTAACAGAAACAAATTTTACATACATAGGTTAAAATATCGAAAAGAAAAAGCATTTTGACTCGGTGGCAGGTTTTTTTATGACATATTGAATGTTGTATTGACAGCCTGATGTTTGAGAAAATTTTGTAAGTTGGGGGAAAATAACTAGTTTTGACGAATACAACGTGAACGCCTTTTTATCTATTTGTTGAAACTATCCCACAATCTTTAAAATGTTGAATAGTTTAAACATTCTAATATTTTCTTCAATTTTAGGTATCTTAGTTTTATAGTCTAAAATCACAGGAATATTAAAAAAATACCAATAATACTAAATTTACTGTAGTTTCCACTTTTTTTTTTAAGTATCAACGTCCGTATTTACAAAAATCGACATGTTTATGTGCATACAAAATGAATAAAAATTATCTTTAAAATACCGGGAAAATTGGTTAAATTGTATTGAACTTTCCTATTTTTGATGAGTAAATACATATTTAATTTAATAACAATATCACTTGACCTGTACAATTTAATACATAATTTTAAAAGAATAAATTTATAAATTATTTTAATTAAAATGCATAAAGAATAAAAACATTTCTTGCAAAATTCATTATTCATCGAAAACAGTATTTTTTAAGTTAATACAGTTCATAAAATATTTTATTCATAAAAGCAAGTATTTTTTTTAAATTAAATACCGCCATCTATTCTCAAGTTCTCCAGGTAGGCTATGAGTTGTTCATCTTTTCTCTAAGCGTTGTTCATCTTGTTTTCAATCTGCCCTGAGAGTATCAAATTTTCCAAGTCATCTTTCCTCATTAAGTTCGATCTATGGTATTTTCAGCATCCTTCTGTAGAATTAAATTTCTGTTGTTTCAAGTCACTTCATCTGTGAAGAGATTGTCCAGCATTCGCTGTCATAAAGGAGGACTGATATTACATAAGAGTTCAGTACACTTTTCTTTGTTTCTCTTGCTTCATGTCACTTCATCTGTGTATTCGCTGTAATATAGGAGGACTGATTGCATAACTCTGCAGTGCTCTTTTCTTTGTTTCTATAACGAGATGTGGTGTAACAAAAGTAAAAATTATTTTCCAGATTTTTTTTATAAAAGTAACATTTCACAAATAATTTTATTCATTTGTAGATAAATCCTGAAAGTTTGATTGAAATCTGACTCTTGACTTTTAAAAGAATTTAGAAATCAATGTGCTTTTCACCGCAAAAAGAAACTCATATTTCTTGTAGTAATTTGTGGTCTCCCGTTGATGCAAGATAAACAAGAATTTTAACCAAAAAAAGGATTAAAAAATATAATTTTTATATAAAATAATCCTGTGATATTTCCTTTTAATTATAACACTAAGATTTTGATGATATAACTTTTTTTCTTGTTTTGTGCATTTTATAATCAAGTATACACTTTTTAGAGAATTTTTTGAGTTACTTGGTTTAATAATTCTATTGCTAGGGCCTTAGGCAAGTAAGTACCAATCGGAATTATGTAAAGACATCTGAATTTATAATTCAGTCAGTACCTGGTTCGCTTGTACATAGAAATACAGATTTTCACTTATAATACTATCAACCTTCGATGACTACCCACTTGTTGCGGTACAAAAATGCAATTGATAAAGTTACCCAGAACTTGGTAGTGGGAAAACGCCCACCCTGGAGTCAATTTTCAATGAATCTACCACACTACCTCCTCTCTCTCCTTGCTGTTTGTTGTCAATGGAGTGCCGTAACTTTTCTAGTTTTACGGTTCACAGAAGATAAAGAGAAATTAAAAACAAAAGCAAATAGATAACCCACTTGATTTTTTATTGCCAATAGAACTGTTTAAAAATAAAATATTGAATTGGTTGAAATTTTATTCAGTTTTCGTCGTCAAAAGGCGTTTTAAGAATCTAGTTTAATTTTAAAAAGATCGATTTTTGATTCTATTGTAACAACTTATATTCAAGTGAATTTATATAAAATATGTTCAAATTAGTTTAAATTATCTTTTTGTTTAGAGATTTTAACGTAAGATAACACTTTTTAGGATGGAAATAACATATTAGGAGTTGAGTGTTGATAATTTCTCTATCCGACAAATATGATTTAAAAAAAAAATCTTTGGCCCGATTTTGGAAAATGGGTCGCATCGAGATCTTTGCAAAACAACGTAGGGTCGCACTATTCTTATTTTAAGAAAGCAAAAAAAATAAAAATAAAAAACGATTCAAAGGAAAGAGAAATCTGTGTAGTTTATAGGCAAGGTACTGTGAATGTTCCAACGTCTTGGAAGTTGAAATTTCTTACAAAATAAAGCTCCACGGTCGGGAAGAGCATATAAATCAGTTGAAAAATGATCATACGTAAAGAGATCTGAATTTTATAATCAACGTCCAACCGTGGAGTCAATTTTCAATGAATCTACCACACTACCCCCTCTCTCAGCTATTTAGCCTTCGAAGTCCTTGCTAGGAAGGCAAATCCCTTTGAATTTTACTGAAGGTTGCTGTTTGTTGTCAATGGACTGCTGTTGCATTTACCATTTTTATGTTGTACTTATCATTTCTCATTAACTAGTAATAATACCGTATTTGAAGGACTAATATTTCTCTCCGTATTTCCAGGACTGGTATTTTATACAATGCAGAATGTAGTCAATACACTGAAACAATCCGGCGCTGAATCAGCTTTGTTATGTTAGTCACTTTGATGTGTAGCTTTTTTACTAAATGTTTAGCCAATAAAAGAGTTACTAACTGAATTTGTTGCATGGACGTAAGTGGAAGAAATAAGATCATATTCTGAAGATATATTCGGTTGGATAACGGTTGAATCTTGATTTGAAGAGGTTACAGTTTTAATGAAATATCATCTTGGGAGTTTGTATCCTAAAGATGCTGTCCAAATGGAACTTGCTTTTTCACAGTGAAATACGAAAAGAATGATGATGATTCGACCCTGTAGACGTGGCATAGTTGATCTTAGATATGAAGGCCTGACTTGGTAGAACTAAAGATTGTAGCTCCTCTGAACATTTGCCATGGAAATAGCTATCTCTTCAGGATTTTTCAGCTCCAGCCTCGATATGATAGGAATAGACTGGTCACTTTTTTCCAGCATCTTTATCGATGGATCGTTTATACAAGTCCCATTTAAGGTCAGAGGTGAACTTTAGTCCCAATAAACGTCCAAGTTTCGACCAAAGATGAATGGATAACGTATTTCCGTGTGCAATTTATAGCTTAGAATTAAGAAGAATGTTCCCATTTGAATCAAATAGTGTCAATCTAAGAAAATGGATGGCTTTATAAAAACGGGGAACGCCAAGAGAAATGAGCCATTATTAAAAATGGTAAAAATTGGCCGTCATCTAATGAAGATGAGCTGCATATAGAGGAATTACAAGAGATTTTTCTTCCCCCGCAAAACCAAACGATGGACTCGAACAAGTATTGTTCCTGATTAAGGCAGAAATTCACGAAAAGAACTGGAATGATTTAAAAGGCTTCAAATTTTCTATCAGTATAACGCCGATTTCTTTGGCAACCATAATTTGTTCCCAGCATGGTTGATTGATTCATTTATTTGCTGTCAACCGTTTACAGGTTATTTAAAGCCAGAAAGTATTTTTAGATTGTAAGAATTGTTTGAAATTCAAATTGTAAAAACTGCTAAAGTGCAAGAATTTTTGTTTGGGGCGGCAATAATGATTTAGTGACGCAAGTCTTATTAATTAGCCCATAGCTGGGGGAGAAGGGGTGGATTCATGCATTTCCCAACAGCATTTCAAATAAAACGAATCAATTTTTTTAATCATTCAATAATTTACTTCATTATTTAAATTATTTCGCTTGCACCTTTCTCATCATATTTCCAAAACCAGTATCACTCCCCGTATTTCCAAAACTAGTATTTATCACTGTATTTCTAGAACTAGTATTTCTTTTCGTATTTCCAGAACTAGTATTTTTCTTCGTTTTCCCAGAACTTGTATTATCACCGTATTTGGAGAACTAATAATACTCTCCGTATTTCCAGAACTAATATAATAATACCGTATTTGGAGTACTAGTATTTCTCTCCGTATTTCCAGGACTGGTATTTATCCCCGTATTTCCGGAACTAGTATTTCTTTCCGTATTTCCAGAACAAGTAATTCTCTTCGTATTTCCCGGACTAGTATTTCTCGTCGTATTCCCAGGATAAGTCTTTCTCTTCGTAATTCCAGAACTTATAACCGTATTTCCAGAACTTATAACCGTATTT